AATGCTGGAGCCTGAATTGAGCACAGAGTGATATTCTTCCAGCCTACTCGAGATCTCGTTTAACGGGCTATCGGCGAGCTCAAGAGAGCGTAGATCCTCTTTACGTTGGGGGTCTGCAAAGTTAATCGCTTCATCGACGTGCAAAACCTGCTTAACGGTCTGTATAGATCCGTGGCTGGTAGCTGTGGCTTCCCAATCCATGATGTGAACTTTCTCAGTCATCTCCAGAGTATCCGATATGAACGTGGCGAGGTTTTGCGAGACATGACTATTACACTTTCAGCAACCGCTGACAAAGGTTTTGTAACGTATCAGTCCCACCCAAAAACAATGTCAGCTGGTTGCTGACGTGAAGCGGGCGCGACAAGTAACGTAATCGGACCCCGAACCGGACGCCGCCGCCGCGTTCCCCTACCAAAACAACGCGTACACCACTAAATCGTCAATTTGGAGCTTATACAACTCGTCTTTCTTTTTTCTTTTTCTTTTTTCTTAAGTATGAAGGTTTTATCTCGTGATGTAAGTAAGACTTGCTCTTGCAGTTGAGGCTTTTCAGCAAGGCAAATTTGTGTCAAAAGCTGCATGCGCAACCGCATTTGATGTCAAGATGAGCAGCTCATCAAAAGATCGATTAAATGGCACGAATCCTCGTACTGAATTACTCGCAAATTCAGAGAAGCCCTCTTATACAGAGGAACTAACGCTTAAAGAATGAATTCTTGATATGGTAAGCGAGGACTTCCTCTTACCCTATCGCGTGTCCGTCATCTGGCCGAATTACTCCTACATTCAAAATGAAGCCATCTAAAAGCATCTCTTTAAGTGAGCGCTGGGTCCATCAATATACACAACGACATCCTGAATTGAAGCCAAAGTATACATCTAAGTACGATTATCAATGTGCTAGATGTGAAGATCCCAAGGTCCTACAGAAATGGTTCGGTCTAGTCCGTGAAACAGTCCAGAGATATGGTATTCTAGAGGAAGATATCTACAACATGGATGAAACAGGCTTTCAGATGGGAATAGCCTCAACTGTACATGTTATATGTGGTAGTGAATCACGCGATGCCCGTGCAAAGGCTATACACCCTGAAAATCGGGAATGGGTTTACTCTAAGTACGACTATTAGTGCTTCAGGAACAGTCCTTCCTCCACAACTAATCTGTACTGCGAAATGACATCAATCTCTATGGTACGAAGCTATTCCCGAGTCATATCGTATCAGCGTTAGTGAGAACGGTCGGGGAAATAATGAGATTGGCTTTGAATGGCTTCAGAATCTTTTTGAACAGTATACCAATACACAAACAGCTGGCCGATATTGACCTTTGATTCTTGATGGCCATGGAAGCCATGCAACTCAATTCGATCAATTTTGTACACCACGAAGAATCATTCCTTTATATATGCCTCCACATTCGTCTCATAAGCTACAGCCTTTGGATGTTGCTTGCTTCGGACCATTGAAGTCTTTCTACGGCAAACGAATCAGCGAAGCTTTTCGAAACGGTGATAAATCAATCAATAAAACAGACTTCTTATATCAGTATCAGCAAATACACCACCCAGGCATTCCCCAAAGCAAATATACTAAGTGGTTCCAGAGCACGGGCCTTGTTCCTCTTGATATACAAAATGTTCTATCTACTCTACGTATTCAAATGAAAACACCACCACCACCACCACCACCAACCTTTTCACATTCAAATACATCATTCTATCTTTGCAAAACACCTGCAAATCTATATCAACTTGATCGAAAGAAAAGCCAAGATCTTGCAGATCAAGGCTTATCAACATTAGTTGCTGATAACGTACTTGAAAAGGTAATCAAAGGCGCTGAGATTGCAACGCAAAAGCTGTTTTACTTCAAGTCCGCCAACTCCCTACAGCAGAACCACCAAAAAAGAAGAAGGAAACAACATCCCGCACTTATATACAGAATGTAGGAATATTACCAGGACTGGAAGCAATTCAAAGACACCAGGAATATGAAAATGCAGTTCAAGAGGCCATACAACTAGACCAAAGCCTCGCAGTCCTCCTCAGTGCAGTGCCTGCGGTGTGATTGTCCATAGTTGTTTGAATTGCCAGTCAAGATCATAGAACGCCTCAAATTGATAATGTATGATGTTTTTCCTAGTATTGGAAAACTTCATAACATGGTAGCCTCCGAGAGGGGCCCCCGCTGCCGCCGCCGGTTCGGTGTCCGACTACTTTAACCAGTTACGATTAACTAAACTAGTTTATAAATCCGCCCTTGAGGCATTTGTGACTACAAAGCCACTCCATGAGGGCCAAATAGGAGTGCATATTTCAGCCAATCATGGTGAATGCTCAAGAAAGCAAGTGTGCAGCTGTAAGGACTACGAATTTCGATGCAAGGACCAAATTGCCGGGTCAGCTGCTCAGAAGATTAAGTTCAACAGGCAATAGGCAACACGGAAGTATTAGTAGAAGAGACCGAAGATGATTGAGCTTCACGCAGCCGCACCGTTCGCATGGACATGCCCGCCTTCCCCCGTGGAATCGTATATAGGCTACCTGCTATCGTATAATGAGTATTCTGAGAGCGGGGCGGAATGTGTTGGATAATGTGCCGAGCCGAGGAGACTAATCTGCTTATCCTTTCCTTTCGGCGTCCGTCGATTTCAGATAATGATGAGTCTTTCACTGCGAGGATTGAGCATTTAGTACGAGAAAACAACCAACAGCGAGTGGAGCTCGATCGCCTCCAACATAAGGTCACGGAGGTCACCGACATATCCGAAGGCTGGAAAATGAGATGCACGCAGCTAGAAAAGGATCTTCTTAGGGAGCAAGGCATAGTATGCAGCTTGGAAGAAGCATTAAGCGATCTTCAACGCCATGTACATGAAGCTGTCCAATCATCGAGGCAGCGTTGAATTCGCCAGGTTAACTGTGAAGACACTGCTTTGGCTCCCACGGAGGTTGATCGGAACTGAATGAGGTATTGGGTTCCTTCGGCAAAGTCAAAGTGACCAGCTGATTACTGCTGCAACTACCAAGCACGCGGTGCGGGGGCACATTTCGTTCTTGCAGGTTCCCGCCCCTTGTTGTCTGCCGCTTGTTACTTATATAACCGTCCGCAGAAAGGTGCCATAACAATCCAGTAGAGAGCTCCCTGTACTAGTGAACAGACCCGCATATTTTGTTCCCGGGCATGGCATTCAACGAGACTATCAGCCGTGGCACTCCAGTCGTAGTTATATAAAAGACCACGCCACTGCTTGAGAGTGCAGATATACACAGCAGCCCTTAGCCCAGTATCATACCACCATACAAAAGCAATTTCAGTCAGAAATCGGGAGCATTGATATCATGGCTAGCGGGGTGGAAGAGCCCACGGTAGATAGAAATTTCGTGGTCAACAATGCCAACGAGAGTGACCCCAACCTTGACCACCGTGACCTTTCATCGCAGAACTTGGAAGACAATGACGTTCCTCCAATTCAAAGCACGATCCAAACAGCGCCATGCGAGCAAGCTATAGCTGCACCGCCGCGGACATTAAATGGAATCGATATACAGCCCTGTGGTCAACTCGATGTCGGTGGCCGCAAGACTGTCTTGGAGGGCAGCGGCCTACCTCCTGAGCCAGACCATTTCAACATGGCGATGCTCCGGCTACTTTCCTTGTATCCGGCGGACACGTCGAGATACCGACGCTTTCGGCACACTGTGCACCGCAAAGGTGTTGTAATAGTCCGGCGTCAATTGAAAATCATGAGCCGTTGTGTCAGCGAAGCACTCCGAGCGTCAGATGGATCAATCAACGGTACAGAATTTGTGCGCTTGGTACTGCGACATCATCCATATTATGGTCAGACAATAATTGCAGCAAACGTCCTGAGACAGCTACTACGACGCCTCGCCAAGACCAATCGTCGAAGCCTACTGAACATTGCGGAAACGGTCATCAGACACTAGGTCATCCAGAAGGACTTATCAGAGTTATCGCTGAATGACGACGACTATACAATGTCACTGCCGTCCGCCTGTGTCGTTCATGTCGATGTGGACAACATCACGAAATGTGAAAGAACATAGAGGGTCTACAATCCTTAATTCCAGCCCTGGCGTTTTCGAGCACATTGTGCTTGGGTGCTATGTACGAAGCTGTTTCAATTCGGTAACACTCTGCATTTATACATATCATTCGCCATCCTCGTCCTCCGCATACCTAGCCACCACCTCTAATGAGAAGCGCTGGTGCCTTGGTCCTCCTGGACATGCACCACGGGTACAATGACCGCCACTTTCTCCTGTTCGTGTGTCGGTCCGTCCGCACCGCCCGCTGCAGGACCCTCGGTCATCTTGAAATTCTCACACGTTTCAACCATGTCAATCACACTGTCCCGCATTTTTTGGATCGCTTCCCGAAAGTGGCACAAGCGGGCTTCCTCGTCCCGGCAGCGACGGTTCAACTGGGTGTTTTCGTCGACGAGGCGGGCGTGGGCGACCTGCAACTGACCGTTTTCCTTCTCAAGGCGCGAGCACTTGGCATGCTGCGCGACGTACGATTCACAGAGGCGCCGGTAGTCAGCCAGCAGTCGCGCGTCTTGCTCTACAAGAACTGGCTTATCATCATCCAGTCGCTGCTCCAACTCGCGAATCGGGGGACAGAATGACTCGACGGCCGGGCCAATGGAAGTGACCTTCTCATCTTTCGACAGCGCTTCCTTGGGAAGTGGCGGTGCCATGTCCTAGGAGGTGTCAGCTCATGCCGGAATCTCCAATACTGTATACTGTATGCTTGGTGCAACAAGAAGGAAAGTATCTTCGACGGCTGCTGGGATGGTTCAACAGCCTTGGACGTCTTGTCATTGTCACGGTGTCCCGGGCCTGGTCCCGCCCAGTCCTCGCGCTTGCGCTTGACCGGCCGTCCCCGATCATTGAAGTCACTCATGTCGTTTGGTAATGCTTTTGCTGAATCGGAAGAGTGGTTGTGGATGCTTCTGGTCCCGGGACTCGTTGCGGTGGCTCCTTTTATACGGCGAGGTACTATGGTGCCAGACTTGCTCAATTCCGTCTCACTTTCGAGTAAACGCCTCTGAAAAGCTTTGCCTGGCCTGGCCTTGGTCTCGAAGTGCGATTTACCCACCATCCTCTAGAAACCCTTTTTGGGGATTTCAATCGTGAGCCGAGTTTGGTTGGCCGTGTTCTGGTGATGGTGGTTTTGCCCACACCCTACAGCACAGCGACGGTCAAGTCAGACGCGGGCAGTTGGCTGCACGGCTGGTGGGTATAATAACCACAAAAAGTTCTTCATTGACCTGGCTGTGGATATCCTGTGGTAGATGCTAGCAATATAGGATTTTGTGCGTCCCGCAAGATCCTTGTGCTAACCATGCCATGCGTTTTGGATGTCCTTGCATGCTTCAAGATTGGTCAGGGCGAGCGTATTCTTGGTTCTTGAGGGCTAGAGCTGGCTGGTTCGCAAGATTCCACGCACTAGAGGTCACAGCTCGCCAGGCATGTGGCCATGACCGGGCCTTGATCCTGGGAGCCGGGTAGAAATGGATCATCCATTCTCAAGACAATGGATTTTTTCACTTGTCTAGTCGATAAGTATCGGCCACTGAGGCCACGTACATCTGAGAACAGAAGATTTAAATACGCATAGATACCTAGAGTTACCGGTATTGTGGTCTTAACTGATGACCTCAAATGCTGTAGCAACACGGACTATCATAGCTGAAAGCAGCATGAGTACTCATAATAGTATGCGAGTAAACTCAGAGACTGCAGAGTTGGACAATTCCATTGCTACGAGCACAACCGCCTGGCCCTCAAGATAGCAGTATCCACCAAGGCAAAACAAAACAGTAACTTGCTCTGCTCTCCTAACCGACAGGTTCTCGGTGACTGAGATATTCCGTCTTGAGCACACGGTACACACACACACACACACACACACACACACACACACACACACACACACACACACACAATTCATTAACGCCCGGCGGCTCAGCCGAAAGGGCAACTATCACTAATCTATCAACACGAAATCTAGTGTACATCTGCAGTATCTCCTTCGAGCCCATACATATATCCTTTCAGTATATGTCCACTCAGCTGTCAATATCGTAGGAATCCCTGTGGGGTTAGTAGTTTTGTTGATAGACTGGCTTGAAGGCACTTCTTCAAGTGTTCAACATCCTATCCTCGGCAGTTGAAGCGCGTCTACCATTCTTGGCACAAGGTGGTTGGTGTAGGTTAGTTGGGGAAAGGGTGTCGTTGTCTTGATTGACATGGTTAGGTGGCGTCGAGTCGGCCCGTGGCGATGGCAAATCGTATTGAGGCTCGTACTGCCTCCAAGTTCGGCGTCCATTGCTGATCATCGGAAGGCGATTTCCCGCCCAGGCAGAGGGAGAGATTGCCCCGCTGAGTTCGAGAACATTGTAGCAGTGCGATCCGTTGCGTAGTCCACTTCCGACACCGGAAGAGAAAATGCTCCACGGTTTCTCTTGCTTGTCCGCATGCACACTGGTCTGTCTGCGCGACATTGATCCGGTACAGATATCCATTTAATCTTGCCATGCCGGTCCGGAGTTGAGCCAGCACGGTCGCTTCTTTCCACGATAATCCATCATACAGCTGTCGCGTGTGCTTTCCTGGAAGTGCTGCATCCACTCGTTTGACATGTCTCCCTACGTCCTCTGGCAAGGCTTTCGTGGTGAGTGCTTGGGATCGTGCGAGATTCAAGGTTGTTGACTTCATTCTGGAAACCTGTGCTTGTGGAATAGCGTCCTCATGGGTCGCGGCCCTGGCCTGCTCCTTAGCTAGGCCCAGTAATTTGTTGTCTTCGCTGCTAGGGACCCAAAGAATCTTGATATGGTTTCCTTTTCTCCGCAGTCTGTTCATCAGCTTGTACGTCTGGCAGACGAACTCCTGGCCTGACTGTTGTCGAGGGTTCTGTATCGTGAGGGCCGCCGCTTTGTTGCTTGTGAGCAGCCTGAGCCTGAACCCTTTCAGTCCCACCAGCCCGTTCAATGTATGAGCTATAGCCGCTAGCTCTGCGGAGAATGGATTTTGCTCTGATCTTGTGCCCAGTGTCATGGAAAAGGTCTTCAATTTCAGTTTTCGATATCGAGGTGGCTGCTTTTCGATTGCTACCCCAAATCCTACAAACCCGTTCCGTGCCGAGCTGCTGATCGCGATCTGTATTGATCCACCCGGTGCAGACTGCGGGTCCGGCATGGTTTCGCCATCAGTCTGCATACGTGTCTCCCATGGCGCTAATGTAAACGGGTTAATCGTCTCCAGTGTTTCCATATCAATATTCTTCAGCGCGTCTGCCACCTGGTACAGCGGCGAACGGTGGAACCGTCTGCATTTCCTGATCCGAGCTGTAGTTCGGCGGAGCGGATTGGTATCAGGGAGCGTGTGGAGGTCGGTCCACATTTTCACGGCCCGCCTCCAAAAACGGTGTTGCGCCGTGGCAATATGAGCCTCTGCCTCCGCGACGCTGGTTGCAACGGTATGAAATGTCCCGATGATTGCGTGCGCTCCCACCCTTTGGACTCGGTTGATCGGCCCCGTGGCCTTATTTTTGAATGCATGCATCCAGACATTAGACGCGTAGTCCACTACGGGAGCCACTGTCGATGTGAATAGCTGCCGCGCTGTTGATGGGGACAGACCTCGAAGTCGTCGAAGCTCCATCACTGCCTCAAGGCCCTTGGACGCTGCCCTTGCATTGTGTTCCTTGTATTTGAGACTGGTGTCCATCAGGACGCCCAGAATCTTGACATGGTCTTTGGGTTCAACGGTTTGTCCCTTGATGGTGAAGGGCTCCCGGTCCAATTTGTAAGCCTTGGGGGTGAAGTGTATGATGGCTGTTTTCTCGGCTTCAAAGTTGCCCCACTTCGTCTTTCCCAGTCAAGCGCTTCTTTAATGATTCCCTCAATTCCTTCCCGGTTGCTCTCTGCAGTTGGCCCCGTCACCCACGCGGTAAAATCATCTACGAACGCAATCGCACCTCCCTGGCCGTCGATTTGACGTTGTACGAGGTCTGCGTTGAAGAAGAGGAACAGGATTGGAGATAGCGGCGAGCCCTGCGGCAGTCCAGCCTGTGGCAGGCTGTGGGTCTCAGACAGTTGCCCATTGATTTGAATGGTCGCCGTTCGTTCCGAGCAGAACGCCTCAACCCACCGGAGTAGATCCTCCGGTATGCCTCGCGCTTTCATCCTCTGAAGTAACCGTTCTTTGCAGACTCCATTGTAGGCTCCCTTGACATCGAAGCTGATCAAGCTCACGACGCGTCGGCCGCGCCATGCCGCGTAGATTTGCTCCTGCAGGAGTACGAGTGCTTGTTCTGCGGACCGCTGCTTTCGGGCGCCGAAGTGGCTGGTCGGGAGCAAACCGTGAGTCTCCACCGCGTGTGAGATCCTTTCTGCGACCACGGATTCCAGTATCTTGCCCAGCGTCGCGAGGAGTGAGATTGGTCTCCATGCTTTGGCAATGGTGTGGTTCTCTTTATTTGGCTTTTTAAGCGGTATGATCTTCGCATGTCTCCACTATCTTGGCAACGTGCCTTCTTCCAGCGACGCCTGGAAGAGATCCAGGACTCTGTACTTGACCGTAGGCCAAGTCATCTTCCAGACTATTGCTGGCAGACCGTCTTCGCCAGGTGCCTTCCAAGACTTTGCCGCCATCAGCTGTCGCTCGATTTCCTCCATCGTAATGGCAGGCATCTCGACTGGCGCTCTTTGTGGTCGAGTCCCTTCATCGTCAATGTTGTCCGGCAGGGGCGGGAAGAATTTGGCCAGCAATTCTTCTGCCTGCTCCGTGTGATCGGTGGTCGTGGTGGTGTGGCGGACAGTCTTCTCTAGGATGTGAAACTTCTTTTGGAACGTGGCGCCGAATCGTAACTAGCTAGTAACGTAACCTACGATTAGACGGACCACTCTATAATCCCATATAAGATGTGCTAATTCGGATCAGAATCTTCCAGGAAGCATATCAGTTCGGAAGCTGTGCCTTTGTTTATAACTTGAATAAGCAGTAAAGAATTTCCATTAAGTCTTTTTTTAATAGTTTTCTCGGGTTTATTTATTTAGGGAATCTTAATTATCTTAAATTACAGTAAAATACAGGTACCTAATATTCTCAGGCTTTCATGAGGGCTCTTAAGATTATTAAAAGTAGTTTAAGTATTCTTAAGTGTCTTTATAACATACTGTAGTATTAAGTTCCTGTAATCTCTGATATTTAAGATATGCTAGCTTAGAAATTGCATCTTTGTATAGCATTACAGGGTGGTCTGTCTGATCGTGGGTTGCTGTTAACGTTTCCTAGGTAGTGAACTATGGCGCAGATCCCTCATTTAGTCATCGTCGGATAGCTTTCTGATCCCATCCCTCACCCACCAATAAGCAAGCATTATCGCTTCACCCAATTATGGACAAATGTGCAACTGGTAAATTAGAGATGGAACTATGATACCCGAAAAGCAGGAGGTCTAGACTCCGTCGGACGCGGAACGGAACCGGATGCCGTGGCCAGCCTATTAAGGCATCCTGTATCAGGCCATCATTCTGACGTCGGTGATATTGATCGCGGCGTAATCGTTTGTTCGTAAATCCTTCAAAAGCAACACCTGGCATCTTGGGTATTTGGTGAGATTGCCCTTTTGAAAGAAAAACAGAGCCAGCTTCGTCCCCGCCATTTCAAGAAAGGATTCAAACTTGAGCTGCAGCCGCTCTAGACTACTGCACTACAGAATATGCCTTGCGCAGATATCCAATTCCAAACAGCTGACTACGTTACATTGCGAGGTTGGCTCTTCCACCCACCAATGGAATTGTCGAAAAGAAGACTGCCTTGCCTGGTTATGTCTCATGGCTTCTCCGCCTTGAAGGAAATGGAGCTTGTTTCTTTTGCAAAATACTTTACTACGAATCTGCACATTGTTTGTCTTGTGTACGATAACCGAGGTTTTGGCGACAGTGACACGAAGGGAGGCCAACCTCGGCATGAGATTCTTCCTACTCAACAGACTAGTGATATATCAGACGCCATTACTTACGCTCAATCTCGGCCCGAGATTGATCCTAATCGCATTGGTATCTGGGGCAGTTCATACAGTGGCGGACACGTGCTATTGGTTGGAGCAGTTGACCGGCGAGTGAAGGCAGTTCTATCCCATGCTCCTTTTGTAGATGGGTGGGAGAACTTGAATCGACTCCTCCAGTCGGATATGGTGGACGAAGTGAACAAAGCGTTTCAAGAAGGTACGTAGCTTAATCCAAAGCAAAGTGATTTGAACCATCGCCTGATGTATATTAGACCGGTTGGCTCGGGCTGCAGGAAAACCCCCCGCAATGATAGCTGTAGTAGACGAAGATCCTCTGAAACCATCCGCACTTCCCACACGTGACAGCGATCAATTCTTTAGTGCATGGGAAGCTAAATCGAAATGGAAAAACGAGGTCAGACTGAAAAGGTAACCTCCGCTCCCCACTGTGGATAATCTACATACAAGCCTAATCCCAACGCCGAATTCTCATTAGTCTCGAAGCTGCTCGCGCATACAAGCCTGCTGCGCATATTCACCATATTTCACCCACCCCGCTGCTGTTAACTGTGGGAGCAAATGATGTGATTACACCGACTGATATCGCTCTGGAGGCATATTCGCGGGCCCGCGAGCCAAAGAAATTGCACATCTTCCCTGGGGGTCATTTCGATGGTTATACTGGTAAATGTTTCGAACGTATCGTATCAGCCCAAGCGGATTTTCTGAACCAGCATTTGCTTATATAGCCTCTGGTTGTTCAAATATTGGTTTATAACATCAAGTGCAAACACTGGTATCATCATAGTACGACGAGTACGGATGTGAGACCCCTAACCATCCATTGTGTAGCCTCAACACATCGAGACAGTTCATCTGCATGATATGCTCAGTCATACATTTGTCAATACGTCTGTCATTCTTTGACAGAGCACCAGGGTAGCATGCGAAGGCTTCAAATACCAATTATCAACATGGCAAGATCGTGTGGCAATTCCACTGCCCTGCCACTTTGCGAGGCTTTTCGCCGAGCCCAAGCCCTAATTCTGGACAACACTAAAAAAGGCATTCCACCTCCTGTATGGTATCACCCAAAATCTGAAATCGTTTTCCTGATACAGATTCCACAGTTAACACTGCCCCGTCTTGGAATACAACCAATGTGTGCAAAAATATATGCGCCAATTCCTTAGGAGCCTCTTGGTTAACCGCATTAATTGGAGATATCGAGAACTTATCATAGGCCCGCACATTTTCTCTCAAATGACACAGGAAGAGTTTCGTACGAACACGGATGTTTCTGCACTTTAGACATGGGTGACGAGGCTGTCGACGCCATTATAGTAATGGTCAAATCAACACTGTTATCCCATCTGCTAATCATGCTATACAGGCGAGAAGAGAGGCGGCTGAAGAGTGAATGCTCTTCGATGTTCACTGATTAGAAGAAATTCAACATAGAGATGAGAATTGTTTTAGTCAACCTCGTTTGGCAATGGGAATGGGAATACCCTAACCCGTACACTTCAACTTTCTGGACTACTTTGATCGCAGTGCTGGTTGCCGTGAAATGCGAGCGAGGCTTAGCGTGCAATCCAGCAATGTCGATGCGCCACAGTATCTGAAAAGCTAGTATAGCGGCCCGAGAATAGCAAACCTTTTGTCTGCTACCAGTCTGCCCGTTGGAATGTAGTTGCTTCGTTGATTAAAACCACGTTTGGCCGGAATCTAGACATGATTGATCAACACGTGGCCACTCTCTGGAACTTGGGACCGTTCAGTGCTCCACCCGCATGCCTTGTTTTCCGAATGGGTTTAGTTGAAGGGATGGCCGCGTTCCTTAAGAACCTCGCATCCTGCTAATGTCCCACTTCCCAAGTTTCGCCCCGTTCGCAACCTCCCCGAAACCTCATGCTCCATGAAACCCCATGCCCCCGCCCTGCATCCCAAGGCTGCCGACAGCCCTATGTCATTTACCACCAACATTTCTGTGCCGTACATACCACCCAGACAAAAGGCCTCGACCGCATGCCGTGAGTGCAAGCGCCGGAAGTGCAAGGTAAGCAGCCCTTGTTCACCTTACGGTTTCCCTTTTTCACAAGTTGGAACTCGATGCAGGATGGGGATATGCGACGGAAGCTAGGCAACAGGCGCAAGATTGATAAACTAGAAAAGGAGTGTGATCTGTTCCAGCAATTGGTGAAGACGCTGCGTGGCAGCCCTTATGACGAGGCCTTGCACCTACTGGATCTTATTCGCAGGAAAGTGCCTCCGGCCCAGTTAGAGCTCTCCATCGACAGTAGACTGGCAGAGCAAGACCAGAAGCAGACACCTATCTGGCCCGGCCGGTACGACCACGCGCGATCGTCATCCGACTCCAAAGGTCCCCATTGCATCTCCCTGCATCGCGCTCGGAGTACCAAACAACTGGTCGACGCTCCCATCTGTTATATCCCAGCAAAGCCTTGGCCTTCGGTCACCGGATCCGATGAATTCGTGTCACATTTGGTCTCGATCTGGCTTACGTGGAGTCAACCTTTCTACAACTTGGTGAATCGGGATCTTTTCCTTCGCGATGCTCAGGCAGAGGTGCCTACGTCAGAGTTCTGTTCCCCGTTCCTGATGAACTGTATTCTTACAGAAGCCTGTGTAAGTGCTGCCGTGGAGTGGACCAGTTTCCCAGTCACTAATCATCTTTGTCCTCGCAAAGCTCTACTCGGATCACCCTGAAGCCTACGCGGACCCAACCAACAGCAATTAAAAAGGACTCCATTTCTACGAAGAGGCCAGACAATGGTTGACAAAGTGGATGGTCAGTGTGACTTGGCTACTTCGCAGGGCTGCGGACTGTTTACTATCTGGTGGGTCTTCCGTCCGCCAGCGGCCGCAATCTATGATCCATAACGCTAATGGGCTATCCATAGCAAAGGTGCGCTGGGAAGAGACCAAGAGGCGTGGTGGCATCTACATCAACTTCACGATTCACCGCAGGCTACTCAGGACCCTACCCGCTACTAACCACTTTAACGCCACAGGGCCGGGTTGCTAGTGATGCTGCTAACTGGGCCATATACAATCTCTCAGCGTGCGTGCCAATGCACTTTCCTGGCCTGCTTTCGTCTATTCTAATCCAAAGCGTTCAGAATGACATCGATCGCATGGATGAAGTATCTTCCAGCTCCTCAGCCCGACCGACCTCGTCCTTCATGCGATCATGGCTTTCTAGAAACCTGAATTCCATATCCGCGCCAGGCCAGTGCCGTTCAGTCGCATAGTGCTTGCGTGTTCAGCAATCTTTGCGAGCTGAGCACAATCAGTATGTATGCGAGTGCACTGATCTTCGGCAGTGGCCAGATACCGCCCCTAGATAGTCTCACACGCACTTTGAAGACGGTTCGAGAGAAACTGGATCAATGGAGAGATAATCTGCCCGAGTGCCTTACTCCAGAGAACGTTACAGTACCACATGCTCTTACTTTGCAGTAAGTGGACCTTTGTCTCCCTTAATATGGTACTGAGATTTCTCACTTTATGCGCCACGCAGTATGGTGTACCAGGCAAGTGTGATGATCCTATGGGGACTTCTCAAAGAGCAAGGTGATGCTGCCCAGTCCAGCACTAAAAACATCAGGCTCGCAGCGAGGCAAGTCTGCCTCAACGCAGCGGAGGCCTTTGTTCAGCTCCTCCGCAATTATCGCACCAAATGGGGGATTGACTATATGTCCCTTACCACCATAATCTGCCTGAACACGGCGCTGTTCACTCTGCTAGATGAACTCGGTGATCTGGGGTGTAAAAACGCCTTCATGGAGCTCTGTTTAGTTGCCCGTGCCTGTTCCCGCAAGTGGCCTCTGATGAAAGGCCACATGCGTATGTTGCAACTCTCAGCACAGCGCAAGTGTGTGAGTCTTCTTCCGGAGACCCATGCGCTATTCGTTGACTTCGAAGCAACCATATGGGACAGACATGATCATGAACGCTTTAGAGGTATTTATCCCAACTTGAGCGTTCTTGCCAGAATAGGAGGCGATCGTGCCACAAGTGACGCGGAGTTGGGGAGCTTTTTAGAGAAGTGGGACTCTTCGGATACACTCTAAAGCCCTGAATGTATGGCGCAAAATGCTCGCATTGCTGCTCAAGAGTTGGCTTACACACATCTCGTGCAGGCGGTAGACGAAAGTAATGGCACCAATATCCGCTGGCCAATCATAGCTGTTTCTCAATCCCCCTTCATCGGAGCCGAAAATTGTCTGAGGCAAGGTACACGCACATACCGTAGCTGATCCACTCTGTGGTGAATCACATCCATCCACCATCCGTATACGCGGAATAGAAAGCCCTTATCAACTACCCAAGAGTAAGAGCAATGATTGATCCGGGGACAATGTGCTGTACCGATGCCAACCACAGCGTGTTAATGACACTGCGGGGCTATATATAAAATAACGAGCATGATAACGAACCGACTCGATCCGGCAGCCTGATCGTACACAGGAGTCTGTGAATGTTCACGCCTTCCAATCTACTGTAACGACCCAGCTGAAGTGGCCTGTAGTAAAATACAAATTACTAAAATACAGCACCCCGGTTTTCGTGTCTGCTGACCGCAGGTTGCGATGTATGATACGACTGAACGTAATAATGCTAGACAAGTGTGGGAGGAAGCCCATATAACCTTCCAATGGTCCACTAAGGAATAACAGGGTTGTAATTTGGCCCACCACTTCCTGGCCTCAAACCACGACTCGGCATACCACCGCTTTGCAGGGATGCGTGGAGGAGCCTTTCAGTTTATCGAAGCCAATAAGGTAACAATGGTATTTTGAGCACGGGCCAGTAATCGCTCAGTGGACCTGGACATCCATCAATTCTCGCTTTCATACTCTGGAGGGTGATCGGGACTAAGTCTGGGCAGCATCTTAGCTAATCACTCGCGGGTGTTTCGTGAAATGCCCCACCCGGTAAGGTATGTAAGGGCTCTCTAGTCCTGCTGCAACATACAAAACAGTACGCCCAGACAGAGGATACAGCATATTCTTACGAGTCTTCCGTTCCCCGTTCAACACCGCGTTCTACGGGTACTGCAGCAGCGCTTGGAGCACTCTGCGTTCGAGTCTATCTAGAAATGGCACCCCTAGCTCGGCCAGTCAAACGGATGGGTTTGTGCCGAGAAGGTGGAATTGCACATGGCGTTTAGAGCGCTCGAGCGAAGAAGCCGTATCCATTCCGCATCTAAGGCTTCGATCATCCCAAAGGGGCTGAATCGGTTGCGAGCTGACATTGAAGGCATCCGTCACGCAGCCGTGCACCGCCAGCTACAGGATCATCGTCGTCTGCTACAGCAACTGCACTCGGCCCGAGTGTTTGCAACCGTATGGCTGGGCGACCCGCAGTGTGGAATGGAGATCGAGCAGTGTCAAATGCGGATCAACCGGCTTTTCAGCGGATGGAAGGCACGCAACCGCCGTCTCCAAGACAATCTGGCTGCGCGCATGGGTTGTAACAGGATGCCTAAAGACCGACATCACCAATTTCTCTTGCTCGAGGCGACGAGGAGGCTCTTGGAAAATACCAATCACGATTGTGTTGGGCAAGTGGGCTACATCCTACAAGCGAGCTTTCCGTCATTGTATACGAAGACGTGGGCAGGGCATGCACGGCATGGGATATGACATATTACTGAATACAAAGAGGCCAGGAGCGAGAATACATGATATAAATTCAGCATAGGTTGTTGCTCTTATGGCAACACAAATTAATGCCGCAAGATTGAAGGTAACTCGGTTCGTTGCAGTACTGGGCCTCCAATTGACACCTGAATGATTCCTCCAACTAGTCGAGGAAGAGGGCGAGAGGGCGCTTCCTGAACCATAGGTTGGCTCTGCTTTTGCACCATTGGTGATATGTGTCTGGAATCATCATTATTGACCATCGCAGTAATCAGTGGAGGATCTGGTACATACCTATGTTTCGTCGAGCGCGCCAGGATACGGCGGTGGGAGTCACATAGCAGATGTTTTGTGATAGAATTAAGGCAAGATTCCCTGGCGGTCAAGTCGGTCATGTCTTGAAGTAGTTGCAGCTGTGTATGTGCGATCTCACGCCACTTTAAGTCGACGTCTTGTGGGCAGGGATGCCCGTTGTCTAACAACCCGATGCATCTTTCGCGATGGAGAGGATCGTAACACAGGGCAACGCGTCCATAACTAGCCATGGCCAATTGGTAAACGTGGGTTTAAAAAGAAGATAGGGACAGACTGGCGAGACTGTAGGAAAGTGGCAATTTGTGTGAACAATCTGGGACGGCGCCTGGCCTTGATATAAGTCTGATATTGGTGAAATTTCGGTTCACTTCGATGCCTGCAAAGTGATGTGCGCTACGAAATGCTATTTAAAGAGCCGCACAGTTCTCCCGTGTTTACACGATGACCCGCGAAGACGAAGAACAATCATGCGAATGTGGAACGTCGTAGTAAAGCAGCGGTTGTTCCTCGGAGCAATCGTCACTATCCTAGGAACGAGCTTGTCAGTCGTGGGAGCCATCGACTTCCGAGGGCCCCTAGACTAAAGCTTGGAAATTCCTAGTAGCGTGTGTAGCTTAACCACATTCTCGTCGCCAGCAAGATCGGTTGCCCACCGAACGATTACCGGATGAACCAGGCTCTCTCACGCACCACTATTACCATGGTGCCCCGACGCTTCCTGTACATTGTTGGCTAAGCGCCATCGGAGAGAGGATAGCTCTGCTAGTACTGACATCTGCCGGTCGTCGGTTCGCCCATGTACCAGTCAGCGTGTCTGGCCATGCGGCGGAAGAGGGGTGGAACATTGGGACATTGCCAATGATGACTGCGACAAGGTTCTGCGGCCAGGCCCAGCTACAGGCCTGGGAAGCGCCATTCGTCCCGGTCCCTCATGGTCAAAAATTGATAGGTGAAGGAGTTCCAGTGTGGACAGTCAGTTGGAGGGACGTAGGGTCACAATCGACATGACTCCGAATATCATTGACCATAAGGAAGATGCCACCGCCAAGAGAACCATCGGTTGGAACTCTTCTGACCATGAAGGGCGGGTCCGGGTAAACCTCTTGCGCAGTCAGTTGGTAGAATCGCGTCGGCTATGTCGTTCAGGGTATGTGTACCGGGAGGGGAAAGAGTAAGAGTACCTCAGGCATGATGCTCTAAGTCACCTTGACATCTACATCAATACACGAGACGACGGGCTGAAGTATATAATCCGGAGTTAGGATGGTATCCTGGGTTTTATTCAGGGAATGACAACACTGCAGGATCGAGAGCATGACTAGAGATAGATGTGCTGTTCAGCCACCGAGCGATAATGCGGGCACCAATAGCCTCAGTGACAGGACACACTGTATTAACAAATATCTAGGTTGCTAGTCTGGGCATAGGCTGTTTAAAAAATATTAATGGACAGCCAATGTCCTGTTGTCACATCAGATAATAGAGTTAAAGGTGGTGGTTCACCGCTTCTACAATCTCTGACAATTAGACGGGGAAATTTCACCCTAATCAATGTCTTATGATGGCTTGAATCAACGGCGAATATACATCAGATCCTATTCAGAAAAACATGAGAACAATATATGAATCCCTTGTAGGAGAAAATAGTCGTCATCTGACCTCCAAGCAACAACCGGTCTTTCCGCTTGCATGAAGTCGCGCGTTGCAACTAGCGAAGCACCAACACTCGTCCCCGAATCTGCAATTTGCCGATGAGTCCATCGAAGGGGCGCCGTTCTGGCGAGAGCTGAATACCTATGTTGTGCTAACATCCCTATTCAGAGTACCATATCCCAGACCCCTGGGGCATACGAGATGCTGCTCCACACCAAGACGAGATGCATCGCGTAGAGGCTCGGATGCCAGTGTCCCACCACCCCCAACCGCTCGGGTATGTGCGCAGCACAGCCGGCCGCCGCCAACAAATTCCACGTAGTAATCCGGACGAGCTTAACGGCCAATGGTGGTGGACTTTCCTGTGTCTGCAGAGCATGAACTGATGGTACCAATGCCCAAAACCCAAGCCAGAGGCAATCCCAGTGAAAGCTGCTTCGTGCCATCGACGTGTCTAGAGTCTGAGCGAAGATTGCGCTAATCTTGCTGATGGCCAGGCTGGTCAAGCCGGAAAGGTAGACAGAGCGGAGGTAGCTTTGCTGCCGATAGGCCGCAGCGATACTCGGGACAGCCGTAGTGTACAGGCTGGATGGATGGATGGATGGTTTCATTTACCCTGACCCCTCGCTAAGGCGATATGCAGGCTACTACCACTATATGTATCTCTTTAATAAACACTGGTCCTGTACCACTTCTTAAACGAACTTAGAGCCTCGTCGGGGCCTATTGTGGCCTTTGCGCCGTTGATGTTAGTTAGCTGCCCTTATGGCACGCGGCTTCGAAATCGCTGGGATGCTTCCGCAAAATCCAAGACGGCCTCGACTGTCTTAGTGCGCGAAGCGTTGCTGACTTTACTTCCACCCTCCTGGCAAGATCCGCCCAGCAGGACTGACATGCTATTGAGCGCATCACCGACCTTT